GAATTTAAAGGTTAAAACTGTACCTTTAAATTATATTTTTAATCTATATTACAAAACGACAAGCAATTCTAAAAGTGAGAACGGAAAAACGAACAATAGAAGTTTAAACAATTAAATGTATCCTCCTACTTGAAATCCTTTTTACAAAATTTAACCTTTTTAAAGATTATATTTTGTTTAAGCTTCGTTTTTAACCTACAGGCACTCCGGTATAAAATGGAATTATTTACTGTAACTACATGAAATTAGACATTTTTGAAAATGTCTAAGTTCAAATTTATTTTATTACTATTTACCTATTTCAATATAAAATATTCCTTGATAAATTTATTCGTACAGGGTTTTTATAGTATTTTAGACATAGTATATCGATAAAAACATGAAACGATAAAATTTTTAACATTTAAATATTTTTAATTAGGATTCAAATTTCAAACTATTTATTCCTGTAAGACAATTAAAAACTCGTGCAAGTATTTTTTTATTATTTTTAAAAATTTGCTATCCAATACGACAGCGGCGACAGCTTCACTTGCAATCAAGTACCAAGAAACTTAGTAATACATTTCTTATCTTTGAAACCGTCTTAAACTTCTATAAATCCAAAGTAAACTAAAGGTCAAGTAATATTTTTAGCTTTAGGTTGAAGTACTTACGCATAACGTTGCTAAGTAAATTTAATTATTATAAAATATAATTATTGTGATAATCATTGCGTCTAATTTAATAGATCTCGTCGTTAAAAATTATGTAAAATTGTGGTCAAAAGTTTTGATATTATATAAAATTCTTTGAACAAGTAACATCGCCTGGCTCATGTTGCTTACGTCATAAATGGCGACGACGAAGAGCATCTGTATCCAGCCGCATAGTTCGGAAGACTCCCGTCAGGAATGCGAGTCTTGGTGCCCGTCAGTGGCAGCCCCCTTCCTACCCTCTACCGCCCAACTTACCGTATGCCTTTGTGTGCACGCCACTAACTTCACAAATTAACCCTTCAACACCTTCGCGATCGATACAGAAGGCAAATCCATAAATAACACAGCCGATTATTTTATAAAGATATTTTAATAAACATTTTTTCTGTAAAATAGATTAATTAAAACTGACATTTACAACAAACAACTATAAAATTCTTTGTATTCTTCCTCTAACACTAATTACGTTAATAGGTCCTGTTTAATATTTGGAATTGATCTATAGTATAGCCGAATGAAGTAATCGCGCGACAAATGATCGGCGATGTCTTACTGTTTACAACTTTGTGTAAACGATAACGATTTGAACACGTACGATATCGTATCACACGAGGATGGGGGGACATAGGTCGCAATTAAATATATTACACTAAATACATACAATTAATTGTCGATACACATATTCCTAACTATTGGCGAACGATCAACTCAATGCCCACTTACAGAATTTTTGTTATATATAAGCATATATAAGTCCAACTGATGGAAAGTCATAGGGTAACCATTGTCTACTAAACTTTAAAATACCATAAACATTGATTTAAATGACCAAAATAATAAGCAAGTTGATATATGAATATGAGTAGATGTACAGAATTCATACAGAATAAAAGAAAATTTCTAACTGTTTAGTGCTCCAGAATAGTAATGCACGTAGTATTACTATTCCGGAACACTAAAGTACTCTGCTTTAGTCAGAGATTAATCTATTTACATCGTATTTTAATCTGAAGGGATATTCTACAGGATTCAAAATACTTGGATCATAGCTATGTCAGTCACAGAAAACTTTAGTGAATACACATTAGTTATCTTGATTAGACGTACTAACAATAACTATAGTTGTTTAAATAATTTATTTCAATTATGTTTGCGTTATATTTATTATTACAATAAATTGATTTGAAAACGACAACAACAATCAAGTAACTTATTAATTGCAATTTTGAGCAGCACTTAAAGGCTTTACATTTTGCAAACTTAAGGAAATCGTATAAGGATTTCACATTCTAAAAGCAGGTGACGTGAACAGGGTTGGAGTGCGAGCGTCGTTGACGGGTTGGAAATTTCCGATAAGTGGGCACCGAACATCGCGCCTCACATTTAACATTATTCGTAACATGGAACAGCAAATTGGCATTCATCTACAACAGACAACTGTAGATTAGTGCATTAAGTAATTGTTTTATGTATGTATATATTTTGTAAGAATGTACTAGATTAGATAAGAATTAGCAAAAAAATATGACATCTGTTGTGTGACAAATGTTTCGAACATTGAAGATTTATGAACAAGGTACTGCAACGGCATATGTAAAGTTTATTTTTAACTGATTATCAATAACATGTATAAGTAGGTATATATAAACAATAAGTATTGAATTACGTAAGCTATATGTTCAGAAGAAAATACAACGGTATAATTAAGTAGATGCATTTGTATTTGATATACAAGTGGCCATAATAAAATTTATTGAATGCAAATAAGTTAACAGTTAATAAGAACAGTGTCTGTAGTAAAATAATGCCACCATGAAGCCGGCCTGCTTTTTGTCCCGAGCCATATATTTATTTTATATATTTTAAGCAGTATACATGAAACTCGGCTAGGCAACAATTTTCGTAAGCATATGCTGTAGGCCAACTATAAAGGTCAAGACATAAACCTCATGTTACAGATTGTATTGAATTGTATTTACAGGTAATTCTTTTTCTTAATTATTATTATTAAATATTGTCAATAGAGCATTCAACATAGAAGAAGTTCGTACATCATAATATCAAAATCATCCTTTATACCAAAGTCAAAACACTCCTTTATACTGCATTGCTACGCCAAACAAAAAAAGCATACATTTAAAAACTTAACGCCAATATCTGCCTTTTTATAAAAAAATTATAGTTTTTCATTAATGAAGTGAAAATGTTGTCTCCAGTGTTGAAAGCTCTAAGGAATATTCCTGACATATTTCAAAGTACATATATTAAACGTTTAATATGAGTTGGTCGTCCTAATCTTTCCAATTGCAATATTTTAGTGACTCTTAAAATTACGTACTACTACAGAACATTAGTCCCACCGAGTATATTATATTATATATATTATGAAAGACCAGTTTACTGGGTATTGAATTAGAATGTTAGAATAAATGTCATAGTTTTACAATTTACAAATGTCGGATCGCTTTCCTTCAAATTCTTCAATCTTCAGGACTGTTTAAAAATCTACATTCCTAAAGGTATACTCGAATGTGTTATTAGGTAACTATTTGTATACATTTGAGCATGAAGGTGAAGGGCTAGTAGTAAATCGAAATCTCGGTGTTGAATGGTCGACACCAGAATTAATAAAACTTGATAATTCAGCGATTTATCAGAAATAAGGAAGGTAGCCTCTGCTAGTTCTGGCAAATCCTTCTCACTAAATGTTTGTAGGGTCATACTGGCGGAATTAAACAAAACAATTCTAATTCAGTAGCCAGCCTCGATGAGCAAGTTTGAAAGTGAGAGATCACGGATCTAACATAACAAATTTACATTGAATCTTTAAAGAACCATTCACGACGAAGTCGATGTTAATAATAAACCACTAGAGTGGACTGGTTTCTGCAGCATCTGTACCTATAAGTGGTCACTTGGCGATGTACATTACAATAATTATCTACAACAACTACTTACAAAAAGCTCTTAGATTATAACTTAACATATATAAGCACAGTTTCGAAAGCTCATTCGTCAAGATCATGAGTAGGTGTAAGGTTATTGTGGTTATTAATATTACTTTAAATTCATTTACATTGTGCTTAAGCAACAGTAAATATGGTTAGAAAATAATAATACCATAAAATAAGCTAGGGTAATGTGTTGTAGCGAGATTATTAAATAATGTATAAGTAAAACCGTGCTCTTATTAAAATATAAACGAGTATTGAGTGAGATATTACAAAATTACACTTCAAATCTCATACTGTAGCTAGTGAGGTTTAATATTATTTAGTAACTTATTTTTGTTTTTTCTTCTATCCAGATTATTTACTGTGCTTGCTATGAACAACTCATTACTATGATTTTTTTATGATTATTCACTAAATTAACTAAAGTAAGAAATATAACTAGTTATTCCCACTGAAAATATTGATCCCAATTGAAACTATCTACTTTGGGTATTATTGATATCTGATTATATATTATCATAAATATCAAGTAAGTCAAGTCTCAATCCGTGATATATATATATATATATATGGTATATAGAAGACTCAAAAGTTTTGATAGAAGTTATAAACTTATACTGAATATATACGCATCATACATGAATCTTCATTTCAAAGAACTTAAGCGCTATGAAATTATTTGTTTCGACACATGCCTAGCTAAATCCCTTCTTGGGCCTCAATAAATTTCTAATAAATCCAAATGCAAATAGATTCTGTTGTTTTACATAACATTAAGTCAAACGCCTTTTATTTTAACATTTATATAATTAATATGAGTAGTGTATACTTTTCTTTCTTTTATCTCTAAACATCAAACAACATTGTACACTCATACAAGTTCATTAATACTTCACACTCATGTAGTTGTATTTCTTTCTTTAGTTCGCATTTCCTGCTACTTAATAGACATTTTCCATCTTAACTACACCAATTTATTGACATTCTGTCTTTTACATCCTATCTGATACATTTTTCAACAATTAACATTTCATTCTATTTATTCACAAATTCACATTATCTACCTATACTTCTGCATTGTCACTCTCAACTCACCAACGAGTAACTAACGCGTCTATGAAAATTCTCTCATTTCACATACGTGTCACAGCTTAAGTGTGAGTGGCTTTCTCTAGTGGGTTCACAATCGTAATAACGCCACTGAAGCAGGCCAAATAGTGATGACTCACGTAAGGCCCGCGGGGGCTTTGCTCACCGATAATGGGAGGCGGCTCTGTGAGTGTTGAATGATGGGCTGTGCGGCGGGGTCCGTGTGCTCGTCGTCATTGGGGCTATGCCCTGACCCTGGATCGGGGTCGGGCTGGGTTCCGCTATCGACGGGCTCCTCGGGCGGTGCTGCAGCGGGTCGCACGTCGAGCCGCGGGCGCGGCGAATAGCGCGGCGTCAGCGCAATGCCCCCAACGACTGGGTGCGATTTAAGACTCCCGCCTGGAGGACGTCGTGCATCATGCGCTCGTTCTCCTGGCGAACTGCCGACAAACAAACCAGAGGCTTAACCATAATCAATATTTGTGAATGGTAGGGGAGGACTTTGCCAGGGCCACAATTGAACCAAGACTGGGGTTAGTCTACAAGAAAATTGGTATATACAACTGACTTGAGGAGTATATGTATGTTACACAAAGTACATGAAATGCTATAGGTACCTACATTAAAATCGGTATTTAATACAATAGGTAGGTAATCTATAGAGAAGTTGTAGTATCATTATATAGACAAAATAAATAGGTAGGTACATTCAGGAAATTTGAGATGACATATTACATGATTTCATGGTACTATGATAAGATTATTAATTCATAGCTTATTAGTAGTAATTAAACATTTATTAATAATATTTTGTTAAACACTCAGGAGCATATGCGAAACATTAGATATTAGGTATATATTTATGTATTATTATATACTTGGATATTATTACTTTGTTATTAGAGAGACGACTTTACATTCCATGGGTTCTCTGTACGGCTCCATCGTGTGGCAGAAAGGAAAACACCAAGCAGTTTTCGGGATTTGTGACGCGGGTTTAGATTTGCCCATGTCAACACTCACCTTCACCTTCGTATTTCTCTCCCTGCTTAGCCAAATCTGGTAGGAGCCTGCTAGTGCAGCTTTAGATACACGATCTAATATTTCCCTCTGCAGTTTTATACAGGCCAATATCTTTTAGAAGATTGTGATATCTCGCACCTATTTCGACCGCATATAAATTAACCACTGGCCTTTTTTGTTAATAGTTTTAATAAACTAATTAACAAAATAGGAACTAATGTTCCTAATATTTATTTGTTTAATTGCATGGTTTTTATATATATTTTTTCCCATGAGCTGAATAAAATAAATGTATTTAACTATCCAAATACGTCTTCTATAATTAGAACTGTTAAATAATATATTTTAGTATTCCAATCCAAAATCTAGCAATAAATGTCTAATACATATTTTAGGTTTAATAAATAAAGTTTTCTGAAATATATCTCTGGACTTGAGAACGTTTTATTTCTATATTCCTCTCACATACACTTGTAAAAAAATCCACATCCTTTCGAATCTGAAAGTAAATTATGTTTGACACAATGAAACCCTATTGTATCAAATATAATATTAGCTTCCATATTGAACAGCATAATGGAACGGAACTAATCACAATGGAACTGACGGTTTACTCAATTCATTAATTAGGGTGGAACAGAAGAGAAACTATCAATACAAACAAGATGCTTATTTATTTCATTTTCAAAATCATACCTTTTCCAAATAGGTAATTCATTTTAGGTATAATAGCTGCCCGATGAAAAGGTAACCTATTAATTTGTTAACTCTGAATTAATTTTTTATATGAAGATTTTGAACTGATATTAAAGTTTCATTCTTCGGTAAGTTTTATGAATTCGTCGACTCGTATTCGTCGATTCGTCGTATATCCTTTACTCTTATAAAAAAAACTGTTGCATAATTAGTAATACACGGAGTCTTACCACGTTTTATTTTTATTGAGTTCCCGATGTTCCCGATGTTCCCAAAACGTGGTAAGATCCCGTGATTTACTAATTATTATAAATATATATAACGACCGCGTCAAACTTAAAATAGTAAAAAACTATTGTATTATGTGGTTACTTATTCGGTAAATATTTTTTAATGAAACATATTATATGCACTCTGCTGCCACATCACCATATAGACATACTTAAGGTATTTACAGTAATTATGAGTGAATATATGAAAAATTAAGTTTGTCAGTCATCCTAATATTACTCTCTCAAACTGTAATATACTGACATAGTGATATTTCTATAAAATCTTTTTTGTTTTATCGATAAAACTGATATCTATCTAAGAATTTCGAAACGAATTTTAGGGGGAAATCCAATTTAAATCTAATAATGTATTGATACGCAAAGTATATGAAGTTATTAAAACTACTTATGCGTGTCGGTAGAACTTATTTATATATACATATATATATAAATTTTAGGTTTTGTCCATCTGTTTGTAAGGGTGAAATAAAAAAATACAACAGATTATGAAAAGAATCATCACTAGAAGGCTACATTTTTAACAGTCAACATGGACGGACAACATATTCATATATTTTATATAATCATCTCGTATCGAGCTGTGTAAGGAATATTTCTGTGTCACCTCCTTCAAGAAAAGGTTGTAATTACGTTTTCTCTCGTCACTGATACATAATTGTATTACAAAGTTAATCATCTTATATATTTATGTCGTCTTTAGAACACTCGCGCACTACAGTTGGCCGCTAATTACCTTCATTATCACCGCGCTACGTTGGCTGGAAGAAACCTCTTTTGGAGATAAAAGTCCATCCTATTTCATAAGAATTTTATTGTTACAATTTACAAGTATAACGATAAATATAATAAAAATGGATTATTTTCCACCTACACTTCATTAGTTAATACACTAATGTACTTGAAGTCGTTAACATACTTGAAGATGTATGTCTATTTGTTAGGGAGATTTTAACATAAATATTATTTTTATAGTACACTATACAAATATTATATATATTTATATAATTTGTACCCACTTTTTATAAATAATATTTTATTTACTTATATATGTGTAGAATTACTTTTTAAGTAAAAGAAGTAACAAATATTAAATAATTACAAATATAACTGACAAATATGAGGTTTTCTTGTATGTTTATTACTATTAAAATACTGTAATATGTTTGGGTAAAGTTAGAGATAAACTAAAACCAAAGGATAGACGTACAGGTCCCAGTTAATTTACAATATTATACAGTGAGATTTATCCGACTCCAAATAGACAAAACTAGTAAAGCGACATTAATTTAACCTAAACAAATATTATGCCGAGGTGGGGATCTGGAGCTCGACGTATCAAGGAGAGGGCTGTCAACGGCGGAAATTAACAGGCCGTAGTAGATTTATTATCTTGTCTGGGGCCTAAATTGACGGCTTGCTCTAATCATCAGAGGGTTTTGGAATTTATTATTGTATAATATTTAATGACAAACAATAAATCATACTTTTTGAATCTTTAAGTGAAAGAACAGTATAGATGCCTCTTTCATGTCATGCCTCTTTTCCTGTAATTTCATAGGCTTATTTCGCCCTTCAACCACAAGTTACAATACAAGGTGCTTCTGACAGCGGCTGACATAAGTGAGACTGAGGTCTACTTCGATTTATATTTGATTTTATGCAAACAGACACTAATAAAGAGAGAGAAAAAGTAATTAAAGAACAAATTCTGTAATATATTGATTGGTTCGTCCATATATCGTAAATTGAGGCAAATTGGTACTTTGCCAACCCTGTATGGGACAGCTAAATTGGTTAAGATATAATGTTGTTAAAACTTCGGTGCCAGTAACGCGACAATTAAGGTTGCCTTCGCCAATTTATTCACTTTTATTTAATAAAAGACATTTACATTTTCGTCCAAGTTTGGATAAAATATCCATTATTTTTTAAACAAAAGCTGTCAATAACTTACTTTTAAAATTTGCAAATTAATTGACCATTAAATTGCTATTGATGGGTAGATTTTTATGTCTACATTAATACCAATTATTACTTTATTAGGTACTCAAAAATAATATATTCATAAATATATTTGTAAACTTTTACTTCCTCTAGTGAATTTATATTTCACAAAATACTTTGTTCAATAAAAAAAGAGAAAAAATACTTTTCAATTTGCCTTACATCTTCACTTATATTTTTTCTTATCATTATAGATGACAAGCTTCGCGTAGATCATTATCATCTGAAAGATTTATAATGACATGCCTTTCGTTCAAACGTTCCAAAACATGTGGCAAACATTCTTAAATTTATCATTATTGTTTATAACTTAAGATTACAAAGAATTTAATATTAATACTAACATAATAATTAACAATGCCACAGAATTAAAATTATCTCGTTTTAGATTCATCTTGCTTCGTATAGCTGTACACTTTTTTAATTGCTTGCTGCCAATTCGTTAAAATAAATGGCCACTTAATAACCCTTTAAATTGTGCACAAAGATTTCATTATTCAAAATTTAAATTAATTTTTCATTAACATTTTGGCTATATCACTCGATGACTAGGAATTTAAAGCTTCAATGTGAAAGCTTTGTGACTGAATGGATATAACCTATTCATAGTATTCTAGGTACCTTATATATAAAATTGTAATTCAGTTATAAATCAATTTTAGTTGTACATGTATGTATTTAACATTCTAGATACATCTAAACTTTGTTGATATCGATATATTGACTTTTGCATAACAATAAAAAGGTTTGTATGGGAATAAAGACGTATGCTCCTCAATAGGCATGTAATGGAATTCATACCACGAAACTCTGAACGCGTACTGTACGTGCATGAATTCTTACGTTTTTTGATGTCCCTTTAGTTATTTCAAATAAAATTGACACGTCAAGTTAAATTAAGAAACATATATGGTAGAAATATATTTCTCAACGTACCAAAAACGTAACTAAATCTTAAACAATTCCAATCTTGGAGTTCCGTGACAATAGTAATGATTTATTATTTTTCTTGTTCATATGATTTATTTCCCAACTAGGAGAAATTGATTACTATCAATTACATTAAAAAATAACTTCAATATTCCACCTATTCCGAAAGTTTACGTACGTTACAAGTATAATTCCGTATTTTCGTAGAATAGAATTTATTTACACTCCTGAATTGTTAAAGTACAAATAAAAGGTCACTAAAATACAATGAAGGTTATATTTTTATAACGAAACTCCATAGTTTTAAAAAAGAAACTCATTTTGAAGCGGTAATGAAAATGTACATGCATTTTCTTTAACCGCAAATAGTTAAAGCCAACAAAAAAAAAAAAAATCAGCGCTACGTTTGAACGGAAGTAGCCTCCACTCTGTCCTAACTACCTTTTAAACGCTTGTTTAGTAAGAGATTACGTACCGTTATAAAGATTGTATGC